TTTTTACCATTCTTTTTTTTTTTTATTTTCAACGCAAACTCTCAACAATATAAATATATATATATTATATTATATTATATTTTTCTTTCTAATATTATCAAGCGAACGCTTAGAATAGACCAAAATTAAATATAAATATTGCAGACAGTTATTTATACATAGCCCGTATAAAGGAAGTTTATTTGTTTGACGAATCGCGAAATGTTAAACATTATGATATAAGTATTTTGTTAATATGTATGGGAGTAGGAACAAAATAAATTCATTCGGCTATTTTTAGCTGAAGTATTTTCTTTCCTTTACATATTTTTCTCCACGCGTTTATATAAATGATATTGAATATTTTTATTAACGAGTTGAAAAAAAAACGTTTCACGATTCGAACATCGAGATAAATCGAAAGCAAAAGAAAATTCATATTGGAAAACAATCATTATAATCCAGTATACTTATTTATCATATTATTAGTCAAATTTCTCTAATTAATATTTAAATATATCCGCGTTTTTGTAAAAGAATAATTTGAATTCATAACACAACGCAAATACATACACGAACATATATAAACAAACGTGTTAGTTCATCAACACGATCTTGTGATACAACTAGAACCATCAAATTTATATATCAAATTCATTTTAATATTATCTTTTTTCCAATCAAAGATAATTTACGTTTCGATTTTATTATAATTAACGATGAAATTTGATTAATTAATATGTAAAGAATAAATGAAGAGAAATTCTATGAAAAGATTTTAAATTCCATCGTGCATAAATTTATTATCACTTTTTATTGAAAAGAACAAAAAATATATTCATTAAGAATATTCGATTTTTTCTGATATTATTATTAAAAGAAAAACTTATCCAAAAAAAAACTCATACAATAAACTATTAATAATTCGTTGAAGTATAAAAATCTACTAGATACATAAGAAGAGATGATCTTATAGAAAAGAAAGGAATGCGGTACAAACGGTGTGAAACGGCAGAAAACAAATAAAATCATGAAAACAAGAAATAGAAGTAGAAGAAGAAGAAGAAGAAGAAAGGAAAGAAGGAAGTAAGGAAAGAAAATTTCTCTGTACGTTGAAACGTGTCATGCATAAATCCATTTTTAAATTATACGACACACATGTTGCAATATAAATAAATATTTAACTTACGATTATAATACGATATAATAAACAAATAATATAGAAAACAAAAATAGCACGTATATCAAAAATAGTATCGGTGATAGATTTACAAAAAAAAAAAACTAATTTACAGGATAAATCGAAATACAGGTTTCTCGAAATATATAAGTGTCGATGAATGCATCTTAAAGTAATTCCCCCATATTTCAGGGGGAGGGCACCTAAAAATGAAGAAGAAGATGCAGAAGAATAAGAAAAAGAATAGAAAAGATGAAGGAGGAGTGGGAGGGGGGTGGGAAGAGTGAGTATGGTTCGAGTATGGTTCGTGTATGGTATCGTTATTTCAAAGTAAGTAGAAGAAGAAGAGGTAGACTCATGCACGTTGTACTTTTCCTCCTACTCGTCCTCCCCCCTTCTCCTCCACCTCCTCCTCCTCCTTCTCCTTCTTTGCAATTCCTCCTCTCAGTCAGAGCTTGTTCCTTTTCCGTGGTATCTCGTCCTCCCAGTACCTATCAGACAGTCACGCGGTCACGAAGCAACCGTGAACTCACTTTACTCGTAAAAGACGCCAGAGTCACGGTACATAACGCGCTTCCGCTTGGTCTAACGTTTTTACAAACATTCACACATAGATATATTTGGTTCTTCTATTTTTTTATTTTGTTTTGTTTTTTTCTCTTATTGTTTTATTCTAGTTTTTTGTTTTTTTTTTTTTTTTGTATAGTCAACAATTACATTAGCTTCCATTCTTCGTAAAACTTCGAACGATGCAGGTGAGTAATATTAGTGTTGTTGTTTATTTATAATTTAAATTTGTTAATATTTAATAACGCGTTCGATTGATTTTATCTCGTATATTTGATATTATTTTATATTTAATTATAATTTTGATTGAATTATTTTTTTTAGTTAAATTTGTTTTACTGAATTTTATTATGTTTTTTTGAATACATATATACATATGGGTATATATATATATATATATGTATATATTGTTATGTTATGTTATTTATTTTATTAGAATAATTTTTGTTTGTACCGTTTACATACGACTATGCTGTTGTCAGAATTATTACAGTTATCCATCGTTATGTTAAATTATATTACGTTAACTCGTTTATTTTTGATTCTATTGAAAAGAAATGTATAATATTATTGTTGTTGTTGTTCTTCTTCTTCTTCTTCTATTTTATGGTGGCCTATATATACCAAGATCTTATATACAAAATATAATATTTAATTCAAGAAAGAAGATATTTTTATATTCATTTTACTAATAATAATTCACAAGATAAAAATCAAAATTGAAAAAAAAAAAAGAAAAGAAAAAAATGTTTATATTAAAGACGTATAAAGTAATTAAATATGATCGAAATTCGATCATAAAACGAGACGACAGGTTCATAAATAATGCATATGATAATTAATTATTATATGCTAATTACTAACTGTGACAATAAATACGTTGTATAATTGATCGATAAATTCTAATAGGACGAAGTTTAAGGTGCTAGATGTCTCGTTGATGAATTTTGAAGGAAACTACTAACGTATATAATAATAACGCTGTAGAAACATGCAAGCGATAATTTACAATCGCGTAAAGTGAAGTAACGAGGATAATGTGCATCGTGGTGCATCGAGAACGATGATTATGAGGATCATGCTTGTATTATTTTTACGAGCTTCCGGATGATGATTTCTCAAAGTGATTTCAACTAATTCTCATTTTCACTCGTGTGTTCGTAACACATTACGAATTTTATTGTTATTTATTTCGAATTCTATACAAACATAATCTAACACACAACGTAACACTTTTTAATACAATCATTTTTTTTATAAACATCATTATACATACATTAATATATATTTATTTATATTTATATTTTATTGTCTCTAGGGGAATAAAATTCATGATGAAACATACAAATGTTAAATGACGTTTGATTATTGTTAAATTTTCGACAAACTTATCAGTGATTCATAAAAGTATGACATATCACAAGATATTTTGCATTCTGAGAATTCCGGAAATTTACTTTTTCAGAATTTGATTCATCAGAGACAACAACAGCAACAAAACAAGACAAAAGAATAAAATGTGGTGGGGGAAAATTTGTGGCCGAATATACGGATACTTGTTTATCACTTTTCTTTCGTTTTTTTTTTTCGATAAGAATGTTTCGCGATAAGACATTATTCAGACAAATTAGATTCGATCGATTTATATATAATAAACAAGTAATAATAATAATAATAATAATAATAATGAAGTATGAGAGACGACAAAATATTATATCAAACGAAACTATGTAATTGTATATATAGAAATTAATATTTATATATATAATACACACACACGCATACATACACATACTTATATATAGATGTTTATATACATAGCTAAGAACTATCGAGTTTCATATGAGAATTGGCGCGAAACAAGAATGCTAAATAATTAAATTTGTGTTAGTGTTGTTCGAAATAGATTTCAAGGAAAATATCTATATAATATAAATAAAATTATTTGTGAGTGTATATTGTACAGTAAACTCGACCGCGAAACAAAGGTCACCAACATTTCTTTTTACAGACAAGTCGGAGCAAGTATTTTATAAATGTTATATATATATGTGTGTGTGTATATGTATGTACACGTATAAGTACCACGTAGTACAAGTCAAGATCTTCTCGACGTCGTTTTTCAAGGGCTCTCGACAAGCTACCATAAATGGTAAAGTCATATAGTCTCGAAGAAATCGGTAAGCAATGAGATTGTGGTAATTAGTTAAAATATATGCATAGATATTTCAAAGAGAACACTATATATGTATACCGTTTTTCATATATAGAAATTAATGTGTGTTTTCTGTATTTTTTATATTTTTTTTTTTGTTGGTTAAATAGATTTTAATGAGAGAAAATTAGATAGAGACGCTTTATACAAAAAATGTGTACGTAATATCTACTTATAAATGCATTCGTTTATTGGTATTAAATTGCACGGATATTAATATATTTTTTTATATAAGAAATTAAACGTTTAAATAATTTCAATGTAAGTTTGATAAATAATTCGTTTATCAATATATACATTAATTGTTACTATTTGATTAAATATTTTTATAAATAAAAATGTGAAAGATTTCTAATAACGTTCAAACTATTTTGATTATTTTTGTGTTAATTTTGTACCGTAGATATGTGTTTAAATGATTTATAGATAAATTTTCGTTCATTAGACTAACGAGAATGA